AAGTCAAGTCAGCAGAGTGAAATTCTTCCATCGCTGTAAAGGGTAAGGAATATTGCAGAAACAATTCCAGCATGATTTTTTTTTTTTCCCAAGGTAAGAGAAAAGTAATGGAGGTCTCAGCCTTCTGATGACAGTGTCTCTCGTTTCTCTCTGACATGGCTGGTGTAATTAATGAGGCAAGCCTAAGGAGGTGTTCTAGTGAAGTGTTTTCAAATTTATAGTAGCAACTGGTACTATCACTCTGTAATTATCCTGAGGCATAAAGTCGAAGGACAAACTAAAAAAAACCAAGCAAACAGCCCCCATCTATATATTCCTCAGTAAGTCAAAGCAGAGGAATTGTAAACCAAGGAAACACATTATTTGGCTTCTGACATAGTGTGAATGGATTTTTTAGAAAGTGGAATTACTGAAGTATAATATGTAGTGTTTTCTTGTTCTAATGCTGATTATATAATACCTTAATGAAAGGGAAAGTAGAGAGCTGAAATGCTTTCAGGCTTAACATAATTAAGTAGACAAATGTTCTTGTTCTTTTCTTTAAATGTCAGATTTGGTTCTCATTATTTTAAAAACTCGTGTTAAGAAGCAATTGGTCAGGCATAAGTTCCAGCAGGCATTTTGGTCCACAAGCCTCAGCTTCTCAAATGCTAATCCCAACTGTGTTTTATTGCCGTTCTTATTAATGCAAGAAGTATCATGGTGTCACTTTTCTTATTTTTGCTATCAGTGAAAAGGTTACTGACAAAGCACAGCTCTTGTTGCTTGCATTTTGTAAACTGTTTTCAGTTTTAACCTTGAGAACACATTGACAACATGGCTTAGAGATAAGGATGACTTTCTTATTGGAATAAGAAATACAAGTTTGGGACTGGAGAATTTGACATGATTTTTTAAAAAGACTTAGAGCATTGTATTACTAAGACTAAAAAAATTCTTTGCTGTGTTTGACCAGTTCAAAATAATCTGTTTAATTGCTTTAAGAAATTCCTTGTAGCATGTTGGAACTAGAGAAGGTGAGTTTGAAAGGAACAACTCCAAAATCTGTAGAAAACACTCGTAAACTTTATCAAGTACTTTATCACGCTGAGGCCAATCCAAAATCAGATGTTTGCTTTTTCTATCCTGAAATTTGTATGCAAGTCATGGTTTTAAAGGTAATATCCATTATTTTGGAAGATTGAGAGAGACCAAGGAGTAACTCTATTGCCAGAGAATTTTGTGTGGAAATAGATAGATACTAAGATAAAGATCAGAAATATACAGTAAAAAAAAATGGCGGTTGGTGTCACATATGCAGTGAGTTTTGATGGAATATTCAGTGTCTAATTAAACATCTTCTCTGAGAGTTTTGGAGGTAAGTTATTGTTTTTCAGAGGAACCTGTAGTTATTCTTGAGAAATAAAATATCCTTGTTAGGTGAACTTAAAGCAGCTTACTAGAAAATAACAGGAATTTCATTTTGATGGTAGCTCATGGTACCTTCATCACCTCTTTGTACCCAGTGTGGTGGATGTGTTACATCTCCCACGGGGAGTGCACTCTGTGGTGTGGTGCAGTGAATCCAGTGTGAGTCTGTCTGAAAGCTGGATAATGGGCTGACTAACAGAATGGCATGTGCTGTGAGTTACTGAGGTACTGTCCCTGAAAGAATGACAAAAATCTAACTTATTCCTTCAAAAGGTTTTTGGTAGAGGTAGTGTTCTTTAGCTGTCCATTGTCAATAAGTGTCTTTTTATTTTTCACTTAAGCTTCATCCCTGTGTTTTAATCTTATCTAAACTCTTCACCCAAGAATCAAGTCATGATGGATTATTTTCTGAGTGGAAGGATTAAAAAATAATCAATAGGCACTGTTTTTATTTTTCTTATTGCTTGCTAAATAGCTTGAGCTGTTTCTTGAGAGAAAAAATATTTTTTCGTTTCCTTCGTGCGCATGTTGTCCCTTAAGGGAAAAGCAGAATACAATCAACTTGCAAAAATTCGAAGAAATTGTGTGGGTTTGGTTAATTCACTGTCCAACAAGAATTGCTTTGTCAAACTTGTCACTGTGGAAGCAGGACATGATCTGGGAAACATTGATAACACATGACAAAGAGCTTTTAGTGGTTTGATGTGTCATGCAAATGTAAGCAACTGCTGCTGCATAAAGCAGAAATGTATGGCAGGGGGCTGGAAAACGTCTCCCCCAAAACAACAGAATAAGCAAAAGGGCTGTGTTTAGCCTTCCTGTCCTTTTAAGCTGTCTGAGAATGTTGTGCAAAACACAGCACCAGGCATTTCTCAACTGAAATATTAAGTGTACAACGTGCCAAGTAAACATTGAACAAATGCCAGGAGCTTCCAACAGCAGCTTCAGGTTTACACCTAGTAAGATTGAAGTCAACAAGGATCTCATTAAGCTGCTCAGGGAAATGTTGAGGCAGGTATGATGCACAGTAATTTGTGAGCACGGATCTTACAAAGCAAAGGATGTATCTACTTATTCCAGATGACACCGAGGCAGCTGGGTAGTGCTTACCAAACCGAATCAATTTACTTCAGAAGACTTGGAGTGAAAGGCATTTCTTCTGTTGGCATTTTTAGAAATGTAGCTGCAAAGTACTAGACTGGCTATTTTTTTAGTATCAGACCCTTCCATTTGTGCTCAAGAGATAGATTAGTTTGGGGTTTTTTTTGCTTTTGGGGGAAAAAATTTCTTCAGTGTGTAGGAAGTTGCTGAAAAAAATAACTAAACCCTTTAAAATTGAATAAACATGCAGATGTTGCAGCACAAGGAAATGTTATGCAGTTGTACCTTTTGGTATGAGGAAAAGAAAAAGAATGATATATTGGTTATAAAAGCAGAACTTCACTCTTTCTAGGAGTGAGAGTGCCTAATGGTCTGTGTGCAACAGGTAGGATCCTTTTGTTCAAAATTTGGAAACCAATACACAAACTGCTTTCTTGATGTAACTGCACCACTGTGAAATTATCAGTTGACAAACACACCAGTCAGTTGTATGTTAATAGCCATTAATATGTGCTCCCAAAGGAAGTGTTATCAGTGGCTTCAGCATATTTTTCTGGTATGAAAGAGAAGATGGATTGAAACAAGCTTTAAATACCAGCCAGTGTGTGCATTTCATATCTCTTTTAATACTAAACTCTTTTGCTAGGAGACAAATATGTGGATCATCTCTCCATATCTCTCCAAGCACCCATCCTGTCTCCCACTGAAATACACATTAAGTTCATCTATTGTGAAATAAATCCTCAGAAATCTCCCTAAAATAGACTTAGAGGTGTAATGGATTGAATTAAAATTGAGTGGCGTACCTTTAAAATATACTTGGTAAAAATAGTTAATCCTGATGAAAGGTATAAATACCTTGCCTGAAGGAGAGATAACTTTGAACTATAAATAATGTAATACATTTTAATCAGTTTTACTGCAACAATTTTCATTTATGAAATAAGCTGTCTTGGAAGCTCTTTTCAAGTAAGTTGAAAGAAAGCTATCATTTGCTTGAATAGTGTTTTAGTTGTGAAATCTCCTTAGTTTGCAGCCTGGGGAAGCTTGTAATGGTTAGTCTTTTCTTCTCTGTGGAGCAGCAATTGAAAAAAGACTTCCTGAGAACTTGTCTACAGTGGTACCGAAAGTACAAGTTTAGAAGTAAGCTTCTTGTCACAAGAGTGCCAAGGCACCATACTTACCCAAAAAATCCTGGAAGATTTAGTAGAGAACAATTAAATTTTGAGCAGGGAGTCACACCATTACATAGCATTGGGCCTGCTTGTTCCTGCTTACAACAGTGAGGTGGTAGTTAACCAAATTTATAATCACTGCAGCAATTGTCATAGATTTTCCAGACTTTTCAGTGTGTCTTGTAGTTCCATCTCACTCTCAGTTGTGGATCCTATTCCAAGGTCATCACACAGCATTTCAGCACTCTGTAATGCTTCCTGTTTCCCAGCTTGGGGCTCTGGCCAGTAAGTAACCCCAGGTGGGATGGCTGGTCTAATGGAGCAGCCTTTGTTGCTGCTTGCTGTGCTTTGTAACATTGAAACTGGCCTGTTCTTATGAGAAAGTTGGCAGGGGATTGCTTCTCTGGAAAAGGAGGAAAACCTCTTTGAAATCAAAAGCCTTTGAGAGTTATTTTCAGGAGCTTGTCATGTTTTCTCTTCTCTGCCTTCTGTGAAGTCCAATTAGCCTTGTCTTTGTCATCTAAAGTAGTTTGCTGAAGGTATTAAAAACCCAGGTAGAGAGGCAGATGAAGTAATAGGGCACCAGGTACATTTTGACCCAACTCCACTGCTCTCTATATCCAAGACAATTAATTCAAAACTCAGCCACAGGTATATTAGTAAAGGAGTTTCATCTGTAACTGATAACAGTGAAATCCTTGAATGGCCAACAGAAGTATGAAACTTTTCCCTTTGTCAATGCAGACTTCATGCAGCTACACTATTTCTATTTCGTCCTTCCCACCAAACTTCATAATATTGCTGAATTGGTGGCAGAAGAAAAGCTACAGTCCTATCCTTAAAAAAAACCTTCAGTACCCATGGATAGGCTCAAATGTCCTGCTCTGTTTAATATTAAGCAGATTTCTAATTATAAAATGCCCTTGGCATACATGATGTGGCCTGGCTTTCTTGGTCGTGATTGTCTTCAGTAATGTCTGTAAACAGTTTTGGGCCCTGGAGTAAGTAAGTAAATATTGTTAGCTTGGGATGTCTTTCACCTCTGCAGTCTCTCAGAACATACCTGCTCTTCATGGAAAATTCAAAACTGTTCATGTGTCAAGCACAGAAGATGGGGTTGATTTTTCTTTTAGTTGTAACTCCTCCTAGCCTAGCAGCATATTTTCAGCTAGTACTAATTTATTTATTTTTTTTTTGCATAGAGTGCACAGCTGCCAAAGTTAGTTCTCATTTGATGTACTGTACAAATAAATGTTTAAAGAGCTAAGGTGTAATATTTAAGGCTTTTTTATCTGCCTAATATTTCTAACAGTGTCAATGTACTGCCCCTCGTCAGCCTGCAGTGTGCTCGGAAACGGCCTGCTAAGCAAATAGGAAACTATCTCTGAAGCAGAGGACCTGGGAATAAGGTTTGACATTCTATCTGTCACCTGGTATTAATTGTCTTGTGGTAAATGGTGTTTCTAGTAGTATTAAACACATTAGGTGAACTAATTGTCAAGAAACAAGACAATTATGAGAATTTGCCTTCTTCATTGCCTTTGGGAAAGTATCTTGTTGACAGGATTTATCTGTTTAAGGTCAGTGTCGAAGTGTGAATTCAGCATTGCTCTCCTTTGGCATTCTGAGCTGTACTTACACTGCCACTGAATTACCATCTCCATCTTTCTAGTGCCAGGTAATGGTTTAGATATTATCTCGAAATGACATTTTCAAGAGGTCTCACAGCTAAGAAAATGGCACTAATGTCCTGGGAAGACTTCTCAAGCCTCTGACTGGCAGTGTTTTACTACCTTATTTCAGCCTAACTCATTACCATTATCACTTGGAGAATCTTAGACAGTATGGTCCATGGGATCTCTGCATGCTGAGGGTGAAGGGGTAGGAGCATGTTAGCTGGTGGTGCTTCAGTCAGTGTTTTACCAGAGTTCCAAACTGCCATTTCTTTCAAGCCGTGCATTCTAGAAAATACTAAATCACATGTGTCACTTTTTTTTTTTTTAATGCACTAAGCTAGTTATACCTAGTGCCTTGGGAGAGAAGCTCTGTAATGGTTATGCTGTAAGAGAAAATGAATCCCCTATTGTTAGTCTTTCTTTTTTAATAGTTCAGTGAGACACTGCACCTCATTTAGCCAAGAAAAGCAGCAATGGATGTGGCAGAGCAAGAAAAAGTCAGCACTTCCCTGATCTCATGTACATTCATTATAAAATCAATACAAATGTAAGTGCTGTGGAACAAGGATGAAGCAATCTGAGGAGTGTAGTTCTTCTACATTTGTATTTTAATGACAACCTTTTTGCAGTAGCTTTAATATAGGTCCATCCCAAAATAGACCCCTAGAATAGCCATTGTTACAGAAATCATTTCACCCAGAGGAAGGAGAGGGTTTAAAATACCTACAATGCAGAGTTCATAACAGAGCAAATGCTGACTCTACTATAAAATGCCAGGTAACTTTGGTAACTATAATAAGCAGAATTTATTTAGGGACAATGAAAGGCAAATATTAACCTTGACAAATGGGGTGTCAGAAAGACAGGATTTAACACAGAATTGAAATGATAAAATGCTGATTTTCTTTTCTGCTATTCCAGTCCTGAAGGGAGAAGGGATCCATTACTAAGTTTTGAGCTTTTGTCAGCTCAGTAGCCTTCTAACTAAACAGAACTTTAGTGCTTAGGTAGGTTTTGTACGAATTGAGTTGGTTCCTTTCACTTAGAAATTTCTAGCCTGTATTCTACTTGGATGTTCTTGGATGTTCTTTCTCATTTTGTATTATCAGGGGTTCTGGGAGATTTCTCATTTGTTACTTGATTTATGGTAGCGTAATGAGCAGTCTAATTGACACTGAATAAACTGAGTGATGGTGAAATAGCTCTACTGACTTTATGAAGGCAAAAAAATGACATAAAACATTAATATTTTCTCCTGTTATTGGCCTTATCTCTTGAAACATCATAAACCACACATTCTTAGCTTTATCTGCTAGCAAAAGCGTTACGCTCCCTCTTATACTGGAAATCCAGGACAGTAAAATCCTATGTCAGACAACTTCTTAGAGAAAAGGCCTTTGTTTGTAACAAAATGCCATCGAATATTTACGTTCGTTTGCAGTCAGTTCAGGTGCCTGTAGAATGTTGATGGAGTCCATTTATTCAGAAAGAAAGGGCTTTTCACAGCTGATGCCAAGGACTTTGGGATAATTAATTGTAATGGATACTGTAAAGCTGAAAGCACTTTATTTGTGCTGTCGTGTGCATTTGGGATAGTATTAAAATAGTTTTTCTTTTTATGCATGATATAGGGAATAAGAGGATGTCTGGCTTGCATGTCAATGAGATGGGCTGCTGAGGTTTCCCACCGTCAAGGCACCTGTATTTAATTATGCATACACACTACAAAAGTGCTTAATCCAAACACTTAATGGCATAATTGTTTAAATGAGGCAGGGAGATTGACTGCAGCCAGTACCAAAAATAGGTTCTTATGTTGGCATTTAAACTAGAATTTTCTAAACTGAAATTTTCAGCTGCAAGACTGGGACACAACCCTTCTTTAAAGGGTTGTATTTTTAAGGTAGCAGCTGCTAGAGTTGGTGGAGAATGTGCCATAATGTCAACACTGACCTGGTTAATTCTTCTGCTCTTTTGGTACTTTGGATACTGGGCAGATTCCTTTTCTTCCCTCCGGTGTCATTATCATGGCATGCGTTTCTTAAGCTACTTTTCAGCCAGAAATGCCAGAGAACAACTGATCTGTCATTCCATCTTATTTACAGGCAAGCAAGATTGATATTGATTTTGACCTTCTGTAAAGTTTTTGTGGTTCTGATGCAGCAAGAGCTTTTTCAAAAATGTGCTGCAATAAAAGAATTCACTTTTAAAGCAGTGCATTAGAAGATGGCACAAATCGATGAACATCCCATGGAAGCAGAAGTTCTCTCAGTGAATTTTGTTCGCAAATGCTGGGCTGGAGATAAAATAAGTGGTCTTTGATACAGGTAATGGCAGCCGAATTTGTACTCTGCATTAGGTGTAAATATTTGAGGGAACTATATTCTTCTGAAATAGGTAAAATACAAGTAAAGCAGGATAAAATTATAAATGCAAATTCAATCTGTCATAACTGTAACCGTTAAGAAATTCACTGATTTCTCTGTGTTCTTCTGTGTTCTGTGTAAAAAATATTTTTTTTTTCTTTACTTTAATAAAATCTTCCTCTAGAGCTGTCAAGTCTTCTGTGGATGCTCATTTTTGTAGGGATGTTGCAGGTAGGTTTACTGCAAAGACCTGTGTAACCTGAGGGCAGTCCAAGTAGCAGCACAAGTGGCAAGCAGTCAGCCTGAACACTGAGGCTTAAGGGGAACAAGCCATGCGAGGCACCAGCCATGATGTTTTCCTTAAGCTGCTGTGCTGACAGCAGCATGGAAACTTGTCCTCAAAGCAAGGCAGATTCCAGTTCTGGAGAGTGAAGAATCCCAGCTTCTACAGCTGCTGGTCATTCCAGAGGCTTTGGTGGTGCTCATCACCCATCTCCAGACGCCATTTAGACAAGGAATTCAAATGGTTCAATGATTCAAATCTTTTGCGAAGAAATCACACAACAGAAGATCCCAAAGATCTGATGCTAGGAAACAAAAGTGACACTGCCCTAGCAAAGGGAATTCAGCCTCAAAGATGAGCAGTAACAACACTTGTAGGAGGAGAACTGATGGGGAGAACGCACTTACGGAGCAGTCTGGTTAACTCAGGTAAGGAGAATGCTAAAATCCTTCCCAGACACACAGAAGAGTCTACTACTGATAGATTTATTAATTCCTGTTCAGGAGCAGCTCCATAGGATAGGCTGTAAGAGATCTTGCTCTCTGCCAGCCTTTCCTCCAGCACTTTGGGAGGAACAGCTCCTTGGCCAGCTCCCTCTGAGGGTTGTGCTGGCAATCCTGGGTGGCAGCACTCTCTGAGCTGTGAGTTTAGGATGTGTCTTCTTTTCTTGGGAGAGGACTGCAGGGAGTCAGGATTTTGGGAGGAATTAAGACACTGGAGTTCTGTGTAGCTGATGAATAAAACTGGCCTGAGGAACACGTACATCTGAGTATTTAATAGAGTGTTGTGTAGTCTTTCCTTGCCTGCTATGAGCAAAAGGCAGCTCCTTCACAGCCCTTAGTATTTTGATGCTCTAGTGCTATCCAAGATAATACTTGAAATGTTCCTGTTAAAATATTCCATCCAGCACCAAAATAATTGATGTTGTTTTACGGTAGCCACAGAGTAAAATGTACAATTGTACAAGCTATAATAGATTTTTTTTAGGTGCATAGGTGTTTCAGCAGCTAAACAAAGGTTCTTCAAAGCGATATTTGATAAGTACTCTAAGTTTCTGGAGGGTGAATGTGCATATAATATTGGAGTAATTTAAATTAGAGTTGCTTTCAGGTTGTTAACTATGGAGTGTACTCAGCTGGCAGTATCTGTACAGTGGAGTGCGTGCACCCAGCACAGACAGCTAGATACAGGGAGAAACAGCAACGACAGCTAGATACAGGGAGAAACAGCAACTGGTTTATAAAGGCACAGCTTTTACCTTGTAGCAGTGGCCTAAGGGTGGCTGAGTGGCATATTCAGTGGAAAGCCTAAGAGAGATGACATTTTTTAAGAGATTTTTCCCTTCTTACCACTGGAAGGGAGAACCAATCCAAACTACTAATTGGTCATAATAGTTTCAAGGATATGTAAATAGACCAGACAACATGCAAGCAGCTGCAGTTATGGGCTAATTATCTGTTGTTTCCAGTTTAACGGGTGGCTTCTTGAGCCGCAGAAGCCGGAAAAACGGCTTGGAAGGGGTCTTTACCTAGGCAGAAACCTTGTGCCCATGTAGCTCTTTTGGAGGACTAATTAATCTGCAGATTTGTGTGTCAGAGAGACCAGAGTATTGTAAGGCAAAACTGTGATGAATTTGAGAGGAAGCTGAATATTTTTTTATACTTTAAGTAAAATTCAGAATAACCAAAGGATATTGTTAAATTCCTTCAGATGTTTGTAGCTCATCATTCCAACATCAGGCACTCCAGAGTTCTGCAGCTTTTGTTTGCATATCTTATTGTGCTCCGTCAAGATTTATAAAAAATGAAAAATTCATTTGTAGTGCTTGTCATGAGCCTTGGTGTCAGAATTGAGAGGAAAGCTGTTGTTGTTAGCATCAACAGGGCTGCTGCTGAAAGAATGGGACAGGACAGATCTCTGGGTTAGGTGATGAGCAGTTAATGCAAGTGAGATGGGAGGGAAACAGACTGAGTGAATGGATGCTTCCATATGGCTGAAGCGAGATGTGTCCGTGAGGCAAATGGAGCAGCTGGAAGTGAGGATGCTGAGGATTTCTGCAGGACGAGCCCTGTTTTTAATAGAGATGGTTCCAGGAAGACTTAGTGTCTCTCTGAGACACTCTGAAAGTGTCTCCTTTGACACAGAGGCCTCTCTGTAATAATGAAGATGGCTCATAGACAAATGTGACATCATTAACACACTTTTTAATATTTTTTTTGTTGTATGTCTTTTGAGTTTCTCAGCTGGAAGGAACCTGGTGAATGGAATCGCTGTGTGACTAATGAGCTGTCTGTGGAACATCTGCAGTCTCAATACCTGCATCTCCAGTGAAAATAGTCTGGGAACTTCTGCCTTAATGAAACTTCAGACCACATACCTAGAAAAGGTTATCCTGTCATTTCTACTAAATTGGCTGCCAGGTTATTTTTTCTTACACTGCTTTTCTTTAGTGCTTGGGTGATTCTGATCTGCCATCACCTATTCAGCTGTGCTCTGCCTAATTTTTCCTTAATATAAAATCAGATCGAACAGGTACTTTTAGAGATGATGTTGCAGTAATTTTAATTTAAGTGCATTCTAATATCAAACACTGTTTTATCAGTAAGTTGTTTGATGTGGCATTAAAATAATGATTAGTAGTCCTTAAATAAACACCAGTCTTTAAAATAGCAATAACAGAGAAATAACAAATATTATTCCTGAAGTCAAGGACTCACTTGCCCTTGGGAACTGTATGACAGTACCAGGATGTAGTGCCTCAAGGTTTCCTTGCTGTGCAAGTGTGATTGTGCCATTCCATTAATATTTGTTTGTGATAGAATCAACACAACAGAGCTTGAACCAAACACTGAGAAAATGTGATTAGTGGATACATTGAAGCAACTGAATAATTCAGTCTGGCCAAAAGCTGAGGAAAGACTAGAAAACAAGTTTGTTTTTTTGTTGTTTTTTTATTTCCAACCAGGGAAATGTTATGAAAAACTGTCAGCCAAGTGTATCACCTAGTTGTCTTGTATTACTGCATCTTGCAAGTGTAATTGAAACCCATCATCAAAGATTATAATCTTTTTCTGATTTTAAATGTAAGGAATAACTTGCTCCAGGTCAGTTATGATCATTATTAAATGTAAGTAACTGGTGATATTATTTATATTTTTATCAGCAATAAATGCCTTTGACTGTAGGAATAAGTGTTCTTTGGGCTAGATATTGAAAATCAGAAATTATCTCTCAAGGAGTTTATTAGCACACTGTAATTTTCTAACCATGGAGTGCAGATTTTATTTCTGAGGAGTGCAACTTGAGTGATTTATAGTGCTGACAAGACCAAGCTCAGCAAATGCATTAAGTGCTGCAACTTCCTTTTGAGAAAAAAAAATTGCTTTATGTTATCAAATAGTCATAAAACTTGCAATCATAAACCTATCTGTTCCTGTTAGCTAATCAGACTCATTCTTCCATGGATAATATTTCAGACAGTGCTTTAGTAAATTGCATGTTTTATTGCTTTTGTAACACAGTAACCATCTTTCCCTCGATGGTTCACCAGCAGGGTACATGAGCAAGTCCCTTAAGAATATGCAAATGTTTGAAGATGAAAACATGTCGCCCTCTTTGACTATGTAAATTCATTTAAAAATTCAATTTTATTGTTAATGACTAGAATAAAAAGGAAAGCTCTTGAATTAGGAGAAGAATTACGGTCAAGGTCAAAATTAGTGCTCAAAGCTGTCAGGAGCCTTGAAGACATAAGATTTGCATCAACTCTTCTGCTATTGCCAGTTTGCATTTAGTTGCTTTGTAATTCCTGTCCCATGGTATTACACTGGCTTTCAGTTTGTCAGCTTCTCCTAGAAAACTGAATGCATCCAGCAGACAGCCAAATGAAGGACTGAGCCAGGGAAGGTGTACTACAGGAATTTGCTCATCTTCTTCCTTACGGAAAAGCATTGGGACAATCTAATTGAAAACAGAGACCTGGCTGGTGAGCAGTGAAATGGACTACAAACCAAAGATGCTGTCCTATAAACTATTCCCTTTACTCTGTTATCTCCCATCTTCTTGCTTGTCACTTCTCCTGTGACAGGGACAAAGATGGAAATGAAAGTGAAGTGCCAGCCTTGGACTGCCTTACTGAATGGAGAGGATTCTGAGTGCTTGAGGTGAAGGAAGCCAGTTGGAGAATGAAGAGTGTCTTAAAAAAATTAACAGTGCTTCCCTGTTCATTCTGAAAGTTATTATTCAGTGAGTCAAAGTTATTACTGAAATTGTGTCCATATTAAAAACAAATAATTTTATTGACATTTGATTAGAAAATCAGCTTTATTAAGACTGGGAATAATTGTCCCAGCTTATTTATCTCAGGTTAATATTATAACAGCACACATGTCTGAAGTGTGTGTTCTCATTATCTGTGTTATATCTTTGTACAAATATTTAAATACCTAATAACTGGGAACTTGACATTTATTAGAGTGTAGGTTTGGAGAGGGCTAAATAATGCTTTTTAATGTAACTTGACAGCATGAAAATGCAAGTTTTATTAATTCCATTATTGGACTGCTGTAATAGAAAATTATAAAGAGATGCAACTTCGATTTATACTTTACTTCCACCTTCCAAGTCTTTAATGTATTATGGTTGCATTTGCTCAAATACATGGAGCAAAAAAAAAAATCTTGACTATTAATGTATTTTTCATTTACATAGCAACATCTAAGTATCTGTGCTTAGAAACAGAGGTGGTGCTAAATGTGCCTGACTGACAGGTGGAGAGTCAAAGAGATTCTTCATTCTGGAAAAACTCAGAGTGGAATCCTAAAAACTGAAATTTAGGATAAAATCATTCTTCATGTTTTCTGCTCTTCTGTTCCCAGGTAGGATAGTGGGCTGATGCAGGGTTCCTAAATAATCTTTAATGCTGGTATCAGGAAAGCATGTCAGGGTATTTATGCTATTTTTTTTTCCCCATTTAAATTGAAAGATGGAATTCTCTTGGCCTGTTGCTCTGTAGAAGAGCACATATTGACAAATGACACTCTTTTAATGCTTTCTGACAATAACAGCACTTTCTGCCAATTTCTGCTGCCAATAATAATGACTGTCTGCTACAGCAAACAACTAATGAATGTCTCCAAATGACCTTTTAGCAACTACTGTCAACATTAAGTACTCTGTAGCATTTTCACCTTCCCTGGAAATAGCTGGTGTTGCATTTGGAGTGTGTAAAGGTAACTGACATAAGAGCAACTGGATCTGGATTAGTTTGGATGGCATTGCCACTGGTCTATTTCTGCATCTTGTGATGAACACTCGAGGTTACAGTGGCAGAGGACTTCTAGGGATGGAGAAAGGTAGTTGCCTGTGTGCAAGTTTCTCACATAAAGGAGATAAAAACCACACAGGAGTTGTTCTGACCTGTGCAAACAGCAGGGAATGAGCTTCAGAGACCACTGGATCACATGAAGGTTCCCCTGAAACAACCACAAATGTGCAGCTTCCCAGAAAATATGAGGAAAACTAAGCTAAAGGAAGTGAAGCTGGAATTGGAGAGTTAAGATTTCTGATGAATGACAGACTTCCAGTGGTACCAATTAACCCTCAGCTAATTGTTTTAAACCGGTTGTGTAAAACACGGCTTCTTGTAACATAATTATTACTTCTTGGTCGTGGTGCTTTTCTGTCATCTGTGCAGTGTGACCCCATTGATTCCCAAGCAGCTATATTTAGCTTCCAGCTCAAAATGAGAGGACAGTACAAATATTTGAGAGTAAGGAATGAGATCCCTCAGATTTAAAGGAACACAAACATCTCATCCTATTGCTTAGAGATCGGCTCTCTTGAGGCGTATGTCAGAGGACCACTCCTGTTTAAACAACTCTCTATGTGTAATCTGTATTTAAAAATAGGTGTGAAAAAGTGTTTGCATAACGTAGCATGGGCTGCTCTGAACATCAGCTCTTGAATGGTATTTTTCTTGCAAAGCTGAGAAATTGTTTTTCTTTTTAGTAGACAGGGGAAATTAGAACTGGACCAGTGTATGTAGAAGGTCGGGCTACAGCGACAGAACACCAGCTCCCCAACTTCCAACCAGCACCTCAGATGCAGGTTAGCATCCTGGATTTTTATGTTTCCAACTTGATAACCTCTCTGTCTGGATGACACTTGCAATCCCCAGCACAGGGCTTTGGCAATTTAGAAATAGATAATGCATCTAAACTGTAATCCTCTGTAGGGAACTGTGCAGTATAACTGAATCATTATAGTACTGCTTGCCTCATGGAAATTGTTCTAACACTTCTGCTCTCGTAATGTAAGGCAGCTGTTGGGCATAGAAATCTCATTCCTAAACACCAAAACTGAACAGCATTTTAGCAATTAAAAGGCATTATTTTTAGTGCTTTTATTTTAGCTTGGTGTTGCTATAGAAAATAAAGAACTGTGCCTTCCCTTCCCCCTGGTCCCCAAAGAGAAAATTGAAAACCTTTGATGTTATTTCTCTCTGCAACATAAAAAAAGAAAATTCCCAAATAAAATGGCTTTTAGTGTTGTGGTACACAATATAAGAAAGCACACTGTAAATTAATTATTCTCTGCAGACTACATTATTATGAGATTGAGATAAGCTTTGACCTTTGCTGCATCCATTTGCATAATACAGCACCGAGTACCATGCCATTTTGTATTTTTCATCATCGACATGTGCTGGTACTGATACTAAAATGTGTTCACTTAAAAGACTCCATTGTGTGAATTTTAATTGCAGACATATTCTTCATGTTATTTGTTGGGCTAAAGCAGTGCTGAGTACAGTTTATCTCTTAAAACCCACTGGCTTCTGACTTCACGAAACAACTAGGACTGGAACAGGATATTGAGAGCACAGGGTATTGATCATTAGAAGTCTACAGAAATATTATGTTAAACTTGAGAAATTCCTGTAGAATAAAGTATCAACACTAATTTTCACTGATTTGAAGGTCTCTTATTTTTCTCCAAATCCAAAAGAGGAAAACAGATATACTTTCAGGCATTAATCTCCTTTTTATGTTCATGACTGACCTTGAAAAAGGTGGGTTAAATATTGAAGTTTTTAATCAGCATTTGCAGACAGAATGAAGTAGTTAAGAAATATTGTTTTATTGGTAGGGTGTCTTAAATTCAGGTAGTAAAATGGCATGCTGGGCTGGCTGCTTGGCAAATAACCACAATGGACAGATGGTTTTTCATTATCTGTTATACAGAAATACAAGGTTTGTAACAGTGTGTCTTGTATTGATGCTTATTCATCTGTGAGAGAGTAATTTTCAGGCTGCTTGTCCAGGAAACATTCTAAATCTTCCTTTGCATCTGCAGAACAGCTGCTTAAACTAGGATTGTCAGTGTCAATGTTTATTTCTGGTAAGCTACAGGCTGTCCTAATGTCTTCCAAAGCCAAATAAGTGACTATAGAATTGGATTTCAGGGCTGGGATCCAGGGTTTGCTATGTGCATTCTTTAGTTTGCTGTGGAAAATCTTCCGTATTCACTTTGCTCCTGATAACGTAGAATGTCAACAATTAGCACAGAAAAAACCCAGTTGCCCTTTGTAACAGTTTACAAGTGGTGGGGGATACATTGAGTTTAGGTACTCATGCAACCAGTATGTTTACTGGCAAAAACATTGTAAACAACAAGGCTCTGGTATAAAATCTTGATAGTAAATATGTCTCAGCTGGTTACTCTGGAGAGGGAGGCTGAGGATTTCACATCAACTGGAGTTAAAAATTAGATGCTATAAATTACAGTCCCTGTTTCAAAGCCTCAGTATGGAAGTAGCACTAGATAAGGTGCATATTTCAAATCTTTTAGCTAATCGATATTTCTTTAATTTCTCATGTGCAAATAATGCTGTTGTTTTCATCTGATTATGCCACCCCTTGATGTTGATTTCCACTCCTTCTGATACCCACTGGAAGCATAAACCAATGTAATAAGCTTTGAGAGAACATAGGAAACAGTCCAGTGCTTGCCTAATGTTTATGGTTTTTACAGGGGCTGTAGTAAACTCAGGCTGGATGTCTCTGAAGCAGGCATAGGTATCCCATATGTGTGGGAGAATACCAGCTCTTAGATAGTATTTTTCACTTAGGTACTTTTATCCTGCTGTTACTACTGTGAGAGACATGAAGATAAAGAAAAATAGAGGAAAGAACCACTAACACAAAGTAGATCAATAAATTAATGTTCAACTATATTCATTGGAAATGAGAATTAGCTTTTCTAATCCAATATCCTGTGAAATAAGTCTGTCTTTGTACACAAAAAATTGTCGTCATTTATCAAAGTTATATTTATGTAGTTATAAATGCTAATTCATAGAGGATGTTATGGTACATAGTATGTACCACCAGTTTTGTCAATCCTTAGAAAAACAAATATTGAAAAGGGCAGAAGTGACCATTTCATGCTTTTTGCAAGACACCATTTTTTAGCGTTTTGCTCTTTCCATTAACTGCATAATGACCAGGGATTTAGACTTTGAACATTGAAACAGAATTTTGGCAGCCTTTTGTAAAATAAAAATTTTACTTACATTCTGATCAGAGGCAGTTTCAGGTATTTTACTTTTATTGTTGGATGTGTGTACACTCGGAAATTTATTTCTGTCTATGATTACAGGATGAGGAAATTAAATTTGTAGTTGCCATATGTGATTTAAATGTTGCTTTAAATGTAGTGATCCTCAAAAAAAAAGTGTGTTTCAGAACTCATCGTAGTGTGAACATTAGACAGACTTCCTAAATGAGGGTGGTAGTTACCCAGCAATTTCCTTCTGTCTTAATTGGAATAAACAGCTCATCAAGCCAACCTGAAATTTTAAGGTAATGACATTGTTCCTTCTGGAGGTTTTCTCAGCATGATGTGTACATCCTCGTGGTTATTAGTAGAGCAGATAGCTGAATTTTCTTGACACTTATTCCAGCTATTTGCTCTGCTGGAATTTTACAGATCCATATTACTGCCAAGCAATATTACCACCCTGAGAATGTCCTTGACAAATTAGCCTGCTGAGTCCACATAGAGAAGGAAGCCAATCAACTGATTTCTCCTCAGTTCTGCAATCTGAATTTTCCTGTTCTTTACACCAGATTTTTCTGGAACATAAGGATCTTAAGAGTGTTGGATGAAGAGAAAATAAGATTTTTTTAATTTTTTTTTTAAAATGCGGTTATTTTTATATTGTTTTTGGGTTGTAAAAATCACTTTTGGGATTTCATTGCTTAAGTTCAGCTGAATTACCAGTCTGTTTTTTGTGTCAGTACACTTACATATTGTCATGCTCTTCTTCCATGGCAGCCTAATTTGTCAAAACAAAGTTTGTTTTTAATAGAACAAAGAGGCCAGTGAGGTTGCTTCTCTTGTGGACAAATGTGGATGTCAATTACCAGAGTCTGAGTGCATTTAAAACTTAAATATCCCCTATTAAGAGATGCTGATTACTGTTAAGAGCAATACTGCAGCAGTCAAGTGAAAAGACGTTAAATTTGCAGGGACTTTAGGTACTTTAATTTCTAGCACTTGATTTGAGTTGAGACTTGCAAGAGGAGAGTTATTTTTATATGGTAATTAACTCTGATTTCAGGTGTACCTTAACTGAAATTGAATGTAAGTAATATTTTTTCCTCACTTTCCCTCTCTAATTCTTAACATTTACCTAAAACATGGTTATGACTGAAGTCAATGCATCTGTTTAAGCAGCATTTAATTTTTTCTCTACACTTGTATGTAAGTTTCTATTCATTTTTTATTTCATTTATGGATTTAATTCAGGCCACAGAACTCCAAAGATTTTCATGGCTTTGTACCTGGGAGAAAATTGCATTTTGCATTTTAAACTCTGTTTCATCCAGTGGATTTCAGAAAAGTAAGCCAAGTTAGTTGAAGATGTCTTTTTTGAAACCACTCTTTAAATGATCATTTTTAGCAGTTGGTATAAATAACCACAGCCTTAAAACCCTGGTTGTCATAGTTGGAAATCTTAAATCAATTTATGTGTAATCCAGTGGCTGACTGTATTGTGAGCTGGTTGTGCCTAATTATTTTCTTGGTCTGGCATCTCTTGGCTTAAAAATTATGAAGGTTAAAAGTTCATCCCTTCCCGTTTTTCCTTTCAAACATGTGCTTCTGTGAATTTTATGCTAACTGTGGGACATTGAGATGACTGTGGCTAACAAATGATTAAGTCCTGTCCTGAATCTGAATCTTTGGTCTGATTGTGATGTACACAGAGCCAGTTTAATACGTGTTTAGTACAAACATGTTCTGAGGAAAACAATTGGCTTCCGCCCATCTGCTCCGTGCATTTTGCAGATTGAAAGGAGAAAAGCCATTTCTTGAGTTCAGGGCCACACATACTGGTGAAAACTGAACAAAATTGCTCCCTGAACAGAGCATTAGTCATAGTTTTGCCCAGTTGAAAAATTGGCAATTATAAAATGCATTTGTTTTGCCTTATTTGCACAAGATTTCTGCCAGTGTAGCGCCCATTAAATTTTTGAGCAAGGCAAGGTGATCCCCTGGAGAATGTGCAGGAGGGAAAAAACAGAATGCTCAGTTTGAGAAAATGTCTTTTTAAACAGCCAGAATCAGGAGAATAGTGTCTGTTTTATCACTTGCTGTCCTTCAGTGAACTACTGTCTTCTTCAATGCACAACCACCAATTTAATGCAAAATTGTCTTAAATTTGTTGAGCTTCACGATGGCCAATTATTTTTATGAGTATCATTAAATGTTTATTGTTGGCAGTTATTGTTTACTGTTAATGATCATGAGTCTTTATCTGTCTATGGAGAAACAGCCACAATTCTTTATCCTGCTGCGCTGGTTTATTCTGCATCTGTGGTCAGCGGAAATCAAACTCGAAAATAGCCATTAAGCTTCTATTTAGATAAAAAACTTATATTTTTCTTTTACAGTAACAGGGACAACAGTTGTCCTTAGTTATTGATTATTGCAATTTGTTTTTAATGGTAAATATAGATGAGTTTTCATAGTGTAGAGTGATAAAACCTCTGTTTACATCAGTAGTTTTTAAATATTGATTCACAAAAAGAATAGAAAATAAT